CGTGTCAAAATCACGTGATCTTTGAATATATTGTATATGATATGCTAATTTCTTGTCATATCAGTTGACAGAGATACTAACTCGTGAGTACTAATGTACTATAGCCAAGAAACTGCATAAGGTGTATCATACAATATGATTATAATTCTATGTGTTTTGTGTTTCGTAGGCCTTAAAAGTTACTTGTACCCGATCAACAACCATTTAGGGGGCGATTGGATATGATTTGAACAGTAAAAAAACTAATCAGAATCCAAATTCAACTCAACTTTAACCCAACTCCACCATCTTCAATATTATCAATATAATTAAATAATATCAAACAATCATTCTTACACATCACATCAACTTTAATTCACTATTCATCCACTCACATAATTTTAACTAACCATAACTTCCAACTATTTTTCTCTTATTTTACATCAAATCAACTTTAATTATTTTATTTAAATATTATTTAATATATCAATTAAAAACTAACCATACCACATTTTTTCAAAATTAACTATAGTTAAAAAACAAACCAAATAAAAACTAATTGAATCCATAAACAATCACACCCTTAATATCTTTATAATTTATACCCATCACACCCCACACCTAAAATTTCATATCATGAGGTTTGTATCAGAAGGGAGGTCAATATACCACACTTATACTTTTTTTTTTTTGTACTTAAAACCCAATAACATAACCAAAAGAGGACATTAGTCCGATACATCCGATAGAAAAGAAGAGAACCAAATAGGAAGGGAATCACTCCAAACACACGAGGTGTGCGACGAGATCGCCCACCTTGCTATGTTGTGAGCTACTCCATTTTGATCCCTAGCTACATATTCACACCGACCACAATCTAAAAGAGACAAGAGACCTATAATGTCAACAAACACCTCGAACAGAGGGTCACGCTCATGACGGAGGGAGATACCACTGACAACTAACATGGAGTCCGATAAGGCGGATTGGATATTTAAGCCCAAGTCCGTCACAACGCGCAACCCAAACCGAAGGGCTAAAGCTTCCGCTACTAAAGGGGAAAAGGATCCCGACAACCAAGACGAGAAAAAAGCTAGACAAGCCCCTGAGGAATCACGAATCCACCCGCCGAGGCCAATCTCCGAATCACGAACCACCGCGTCACATAGGAGCGTCAAACCATTGCTACATCTTCCCCGACCCCTCCAGATGGAGATGGAATCGATACTTGGTCGTAGCCCAATAGCTAACAATCCCAAGCCCGCTAGATCAAATTCCTTCAGCCAAACCGCCCCAAATTCCAGCACTTGTTCAACACTCCTAGCTTTTAGCCCCTTACGACATCGATTACGTTCAAACCAAACAAGCCACAAACCCACCGCGAAAACACGAAAATCATCGCCTCGGGGCCCGGACAAAAGAGACAAAAAAAGAAGGATAAAATCACCCCTCCAAGCACCGCATAAAATATTCCACCATCCAGTATGCTTCCAAAAGGATTTCGCCCACAAACAATCAAAAAACAAGTGATAGTTAGTTTCCCTACATCCACACCTCGGACATAAACCCTCCAACATTACATGTCTTCTGTTCAGATTTTCGCTAGAAGGAAATGCTAAAAGGGACAGTTTCCACATGAATAGCTTTATGGTCCTTCTATGTATTTGCAATGATTTTTGAAAATTTTTATAAAAGTACGACGTTAAAAGTAGAATTACACACAAATCACTCGTAAATTAAAAATAATGCAATTTAGGTCTCAATTACAAAAGTAAACTTAAATCAACCATTTTTAAATATTGAAATTTAATATATCAAAGAATTTTTTTTTCAATAAAATAAAATAAAAAAAAATAAAAAAAATGTAGGTGAATGGCGTGTTCTCCTCATATGGCCTTCGATATATGCAAACTAAAAAATGTTGGATAAACTCTACTTTCCATTAGACGTGTCCATTTGCCGGGCCGGGTCGAAACCCGGCCCGGCCCGCCGGGTCGGCGGTTCACCGTGTAGTGAACTGGGCCCGGCCCGCTTGTAACTAAGGGCCGGTTCACTGAATCGGCCCTTAACCGCCGGGTCGCAAACCCGGCGGGTCGAGTCGGTTCCGGGTCGGGCCCGGCGGGTTTGCGGGTTTATTAATTTTTTTTTTTACTTTTTTTGTTATTTTAATGTATATTAATGTTTATTTGAATAAATAGTTTGTATATACTTCGAAAATATAAGTTTTTGAGTATGTTTGTCTATATCATTTCAAAATGAAACAAAAATAATGATCGGGCGTCAATTCTTGGAACCAAACGGTTAACGGTGTTGTATTTTATTGAGTATGGCGGAGAAGTACAACTTGAGGTAGTTTAGAAATGCTAAATTGTACGTCAAATGAAGTCGAATAAGTGTAAAGAAAAAAATTATTAATGTAATGGACTTGAGCTTAGTTAACAGTTATTAAGTTCGAATATCGTGTACGATGAAAAATTTTGTTGCCAAAAAATTATACTCGAACTTAATAATGTTAAATAAGGTGCCTACGTATCCCTTTATTTGGGAATCAAAGTCCACGTAGTTCTTCTAAATCACATACCTTGGCTGCATACCTTTAATATTCGTATTCGTCTTCGACGTCCCCCCCGGTTCCACTTGTCGACGACGTAAAATC